GTGAACTGATCTTGCGCGGGCATGGTGCGAACGCTCGCTCCTGTAGTGCTAACTTCGCTTCACCTGCACGGTCTTGGTACCTCAAGCATAAGGCGCTGATTACATCAAACCTCCTCCTCCTGCATTGCCCACTGCCCATGCATAGTCAGAAGACGAATGAATGCTGTTGGTCGAATCCAATCATGCTTGGTGATAACATGAAACCTTCCCGAACCTTTGCTGCTGACGACCTGGTTCGTTTTCCTCAGCCTGCCTGTCGAGTAACTCTGTCACGAATCTTGAAGGTGCACCAGCCAGACAAGCCCAATCCGTTGCTGAACGTTCTTGGCGATGTCGCCTTTCCTTTGCTCTTGATCGCCGGTCTCCTCTTCCTTCGCTCCCGCGCTCCAGGAGGTGGCGGAATGCCAGGCGCGCGACTTGCCAGGCCTTGGTTCCTTTCGTGAGGGCTTGGTCGCATTGCAGGATTTGGTGGCGATCAGGGGCGGGCCAAGATTATGATCACACCGGAGACCGGGGTGAAATTCGAGAATGTCGCTGGCATCGACGAGGATCGCCTATGGCCCAAACATTTGCCCCAACCAAAGCCGTGCCAAACCTTTGAAGATTCCAGCAGCATGCTGAGATCGTGACAGGCCAAGGAGGAGCTCATGGAAATCGTCGACTTTCTGAAGGTATGCCGTTCCGGATCACGTCAGTGCAAACGGACTGTTGCATGCATAGCTGGGGTACGGTTACGTCAAAGCAGGATCTGGTGAAGTGACTCTGATGGTTTTGTTGGAGGCCCCGGAACGCTTCGTGAAGGTGGGTGCGAAGATTCCCCGCGGCGTCCTGCTCACTGGACCACCAGGGACTGGAAAGACCCTCATGGCCAAAGCGTACCTTGGAGCCATGATGGTAAGGAGGTTTTTGCATCTTTGAAGGCTTGAACTTGCTGCGACGCAAGCACTGAAAGGCTAGCTGGCGAATCCGGGGTGCCTTTCATTCAGCGCTGGCCTCACATTGCAACGGAAATCCATGTGGTGTTGCTTCGCCCACTGCGTCGAGGTCATCCGCCTCTGAGTTCATTGAGCTTTTTGTTGGCGTTGGTGCTTCTCGCGTGCGTGACATCTTCAAGCAGGCGAAGGAGAAGGCTACTCGGCTCTATACTCTCATGGTTTGGTGGCGCATAGGTCATCATGAAGAATAATGAAGGTTGAATCCTCTTT